TCTGGAAAAGTAATAAAGTGTGGGGGGGGGGTTATTAAAGAATCTGCATTTATGAATGAAGTAATTGGCCAAAATCACAATATTATTAACCAAAAATTCAACATCACAATTCCAACAAAAGGACAAATATTTTACAGTTTTAAAATCAAAGTCAGGTATTACATACTTCAAACACACGTGCGGAAGTTTCCAAGGCAACGTTTCTCATTTTTATTCCGATGTACTAAACTAAATAATAAAAAATAAAAAAAATAAAAATCTAATAAAAATGACAAAAACACAAAACAAAATCATCGAAACTTTAACTGAATTAAAAATGAAAATATTAATGAAAGCTATAATTGTATGTAAATGATAGTAAGACAGTGTTTTGCTGTAATTTGACAAATTGCGTTATTTTACAACATTACCAGGAAGTTAATTCACACAGTCTGTATTAATATAATTATGAATGTTTATTCATCTGACAGTTCGTATTAAAAAAACCGAAAGATACCGTATAACATATAATAAAATACATTAAAAAGTAATAAAACTCCATGAACATATTTAAAACAACAAAAAATGTCAAACACACAATTAACTATAATTAAAATGAAAGCAGAAAATATCAAAGAAAAATAAAACACTATAATAGTATTCCACTGATACTAAAATAACACTGGTTAATAATACAGAGAGATAATGCAACTTTTACTATGAATTATTTAATTGATTAAATATTTTACAGATTTTTTTATAACATTACATCATCTGCACGAGCTGTCAAATATAATAATGTATTAGAATAAATGAAAACACCTCAAAACGTTAGACCAATGCTCATTTACATCACATCTCAGTCATATATTCAGGTTTAATTGTATTGCATTTATACGCTTTTATTAATCGCTACATAACGTTAGATAATAGTCAAATATTTACATTTATATGGAGATATTTTAATCATTTCCCACAATAATTTAATGTGCAATAAGTAACTATCATAATAAAAACGGCATGATCTTTAGGTTGCTGAATCTTATATCACTGTAATTGTTCTGTTTATTACTGTGAAGCTGCTTTGAATCGATCTGTACTGTATGAAGTGTGATTTGACAAGACATGATTATGATTATAAATACAACACAGCAGCCATTAAACAGGAAAATGCTTTAATGATATTCATAAACACACAAACGAGACTTATTTACAGGAACAGACGTTCAGCGGGTCACATGATCAGCTGCGCTGTGATTGGCTGGCTGAGGCGCAGCTGTACGTGTGACGCAAGAGACACTGCGTTAGTAGTAACGTCACACATTACAACGACATACGAGTTACTTCTTCAAAGAAGTAGTTGCTTTGTTTTCATGTATCGACTGACGAGAGAAATCAGAGGCGTTTCCTTCAGCCTGAAGATTATTCGTTTCATTTTTTGGTGTGAAAGGGCCTTTACAGTAGCCCAAAATATAACTTTTGGTTTTTTTGTTATTAACTGTGTTGGGCTCGTTACTCCAAAAATGTAATGTATTACTCGTTACTAGTTACACTTTTGCGTCCGTTAAAGACGCAGTTGTGTGACGTCATAGTATGTCCCAAAGCTTGCCTACTCTTCTACTACACACTCAAAAGTGTGTACTTTTTCTTCACCAAAAGAGTACACACTGTAAGGGAGTAGTATAAGTAGGCACATTGAGACGCAGCACATGACGATCGATCAGAGTAACCGTGCGGAGACGTGACGTCACATCCGGGTCATGCGAGAGGGACAAAATAAAAGTACGATATATAATGCTTTTATATCATTTGTTAATTATTATTCATATTATTCATTATTAAATGTACTTTATGACTAAGAAAAACACTCATCTAATAATGCGATCAATAATCACGGGCTGCGTTTCAAAACCTAGCGCAGCTCCCTACCTAGTGCACATCATTCGTGGTCTTTATCCGCCTCAACAGGCAGCTGCGCGTGTTTGTTTGAGACGCGGCCCGCGGCGTCGCGGTGCATTGTGGGCTGTTGGAGGAGAGGGGGTGAGCTCCACTCCATCACAGTAGGTGGCGGTATGCACCGATGAAGTTGGTTCGCAACCCGCCATAAAACCAAAAGAAGAAGAAGAAGAGTGGTGAGCGAGCTCGACGCGATCATGGCCGCGGTGTGTTTCTCCTTCAGCCGCCGCTGCGCTGCCGTTCACCGCCCCGCGGTCACGGTGAGAACCGGTGCTGACTGACCGACAGAAACCCAAGTCCAGACGAGATTGTGGTTTATGATGAGAGTGTGAAATGACAAGCTGCTGTTTTTGTATTGTTCAGTGATGATTTGAGCTCTAATACAGCACACGCACATCTCAGAGACGTCTGTAAGAGTGTTTGTTCATCTGCTATACTATACAGCTACAGGACGCTTCCTATCAGATGTCAAGTAGACGTTTAGAAGATGTCTTTAAGATGTTTATGATGTAAAACTGACATCTTAGAGACGTCTGTCAGATGTTTGTACACAGCAGAAGCTTTCCAGATCTTTTACCTGTGCTCTCTGGGATGTGACATCTCATATTTCAGCTATCACACTCAATATTTCATTAGTGCGGAGTGTGTTGTATGTAGTGTGGTTTAGACACTGTCAGGGTGTAGTTCCGTCTGTGAGCACTAGAGGTCAGCGTCTGTGAGCACTAGAGGTCAGCGTCTGTGAGCACTAGAGGTCAGCGTCTGTGTTCTGATTGGTCAGCGTCTGT